CGATTTGCAATTGCAATTCCATTTCTTGATGATTTTATCGATCAAATGCATTTGAGGTTCAAATATTAATCAGCTAGTTCCTTTCTTCAGAGTGTTTTTCGGTGGAGAGTGATTACAAAATTGACACTTTCGTTCAATACTGCAATTTGGGATAAATATGTGGAAAATCAAAAGGAATAATGACGATGGAAGTAATAAACCAAGCTGTGCAATAGTAAATGTAATGTTGATATAATCTCCAACTTGCATTTCTTGTTGAATGTTTCGAAACATTGAAAACTTGTTGAAGAAAGGCAGTCTGTATGATCTGGATTTACTGGCTATTCACAGACTAATTGATGTTTTTGTGTAAGTAATTGAGCAATCCGCATCCAAAAAAGTTGGATAATGAGTCTTTTTGATTTCATCTTTTGGAGTTCAATAAGTGATGTATCTTCAACGCTCACTTGCTCTGTTAGAATTTCAACTATCCACTGAATTGATTAAAAAAATTATTTTTGCTTTCACTATCGTGTCATAGTTTTCCTCAAACTGAAGAAAAAATTGCTCTAGCAGTACCAAATACCCTCCAGCAACAAAAGTTTCGGTTTGACAGCATTTCATTTTCAGTCATTTCGTATTTATAACCTCTACTCTATCTGTTCTCAGAACATTCAGTTTACAATTGTGTTAAAACAAATAAAAAAAGTTGAAATCAAGAGTTCACGCACTTTTCGTATCAAGTTTCAAATAATATCTACATGTATTATTTCAAGCCGCAATATTAATCATTTATAATTAAGAGCCATGCTCCGGTTAATTTAGTAATGACCGTAACGCAATTTATCCAACAACTAATTTAACAACTTGACCATTGTATCTTGGTATAAATTTCTTGTACCTAATTAGAGATGAAACGTAATTTTTCCTATTCGAGGGGGAATGTGTTTTTTATAACCTAAAGAAACATTTCAACGATAAGAATATTCCTACAGAAATTCTTTTTTAATAAAGGAATAAGGACAATGGACAAAAAATATATATTCGACTCTTCCTTCTACGGAGTCGTCGTTACAAGTGCCTTGCTAGATTAACATGAGACTACTGTTGCAAATAGGTCGAGTACGGCCCTGTCGACTCATGAAAAGCTCATTAAGTGTATCTGTCGGTTAAGTGAGTAAGGGCGATGGCATCTGCCTTACGAAGACGCCATCTATAGGATCGACAGAGAACTCAATCCTCGAATATCATTGATAAATGAGGCTCCCCAATGCGGTCATTTGCAAAGCCAAGCTTCGACATTGACCGCCAACGAGATTTGTCCTCTATTTTTCATTATAGCTTTCACTGTAAGGCAACTAGTTGAAAACCAGCACCCAAACACTACACAGTTATGATTCAACACCAGTTTCAACCCGCCATAGGTCTCATCAGTGGTGATAGGCTGAACCACAAATGCATTGTTGGACTCAACTGTCTTCACAAGTAAGGGCGATGACATGTCCCCTTACCAAAACGCCATCTATGGGATCGACAGAGAACTCAACTGGTTTTCAATAAGTATAGTTCATACTAGAACAAATTACCAATGCGGAAAAATGTTCCATCCTCTTCGAACTGGATCAACCAGTTTAGTTATAGTTAGTAATTGATGTAAACTATCAAAGAACGTGAAAGTGACCTATTGAGAAGAAACAATAGCCTTTCTGCAATAAAGGATACTACTGGATCAACCTAAGGAGTCGAAAAAACCGAAGAACTAAAAAAAGTCTGAGAACTCTTGGAACAACGCGTACAGATAACCTGGAACTGAAAATAGGGCAATAGGTGTAGAGGTCCCTTTAGTTGGTATCTCAGGATATAAATGACTACATCGCAATTCAATCAACTCCATCAAGGAATAAACCATCGGTTCTGTCCCTAGAAAGACTGGCCCCCTGAAATGGTGTTTTGGTTGTGGTCTGCAAAGAGGAGTTGATTGAGAGAGCACGACGTATCTGTGATGTGAAAAGAGCCTTCCTGAGGAACCCAATGCCTTAAAAAACACGACGTGGAGCCAGAAAACTTTAACAATAAACGGGGTATATCGAATTCACTGAAGCTGCTGGTTGATCTACATTGGAACCACGAAAAGAAGTATAGGTACCCGTCTCTCTGAACACAAGAAAAAATGTAGACTCGGACAAACTGACAAAACAGCTGTAGCCAAACATGCTCTCAGCAAAGAAGGCACTCCCATTATCTCATTCGAAAATACAGTTATACCTATTCGATGAAACTCAAAATAACTATTCAAGAGTATATATAGAGGCAGTGGAGATTCAAAAACACAGGGATAATTTCAATAGAAAAGAAGATGGAATGAACATTAATTGAATCTGGCTACCTGTCCTCAAAGTAGTAACCAAGCCACGCCCACCAATAATAATATACCAACATCGTAGTTAATGCGTTGGGAACAACAGGGACAACAACTCGAGCACCAACTCGGTCCAAAGTGAGTGGATCTATTCGACCCTCCACCGAAACCCGCAAGGGTTTATTGTGGCTCATACCTATTCACACTCGACCAAATAAACCCAGCTTCTTAACGAAACCGATTAGTTTGTATGGTGAGTGGTCATTCAGGTCAGATGGTAAGAGTACGGCTCTGCCGAACTCTAAAAACCGGATTCGGCCCCCAGCGGGGCAGGCACAAAGTATATGCTCTGCTGTTTCATCGTTAATGAGGTAGTCAGATAGTCAAGGTGCAAGATTCCCACCTTGATACCCGTGACAACCTTCCCATATGAGGGGTTTTGCACGTCAGCTACACCTGATGATGCCTTAGATTTAACCGTGCAGGGCTTTTTCGCCTCTGGTTTTGGTGAATCATCACTTGAGCGCAAACGTTTGCTAACCTGCTCATGGGGGGTTTGTTCCTCCACCTGGGACAGATTCTGCATACACCGCTCAAGAATTTGGTGCAAGGCGGTTTCAAAAGGTACCCCGTTCTTGAGGAGAAGAATCAGTCGTTTCCTGGCTACACCACCAAACCTTTATTTTTAGGTTCAGTTATTGGATCAGGAGTTGGAGAGTTGAGAAGCTCTCGCTCCTGATCTAAATTTACAGGGAGGTCAGTTGGAGTTGTAAGCTCAGTGTCAGAAAGAATTTTAAAGTTTACTCTGTCCATAAAAGTCTCACGAGTAGCTAAGGAAAGAAGATCAATAACAGCAGAGCCCCGCATTACCGTGACAAGGCGATGCTACGACGAGAGGGCGCCCGATATCTCGAAGGTTCCGTAGAGACAGCTGATAGGCTCAGTGTCATTGATCCTCTCGGCACGGATATACACACCTTAGGATTAAGCCATCGTTGGGATACCATTCAGTTAGGGAATAACAGAACCACAAGTGATTCAGTCATTCCCCTATCCAGCGGGGCTACGTGGAATCAGGCATCCGATGGCCGGTTTGCCCAACTCCCACATCCCAAGCCAATGCACTCGCCAAAAACAGCATGCGCAGTGGTTCAGGCAGTGAAAGATGAACAAGGACAGCCAACCCGCCACCAACTCGGGTACTGTGACCATTACCACATCGCCTTTAATAAAGTCTACCGCAGTAGTAAACGAAACGTCAGGAATAAAAACCTGCAGACGACGATCCAACGAAAAGTCAAGGAAAATAAGTTTCACACAGTTATCTCCTGCCGTGAAATTTCACATTCTTTGATCCTCCGAATATTTAAATCAAGTTAGGCGAGTTAGTCGAGACGGAGTAACTTGATGAGGAGGAAAATGTTGGGATATAATTCAGTGACAAATCACCTTATGGCAGTGTGTGCGCCGCGGCGCCCTGGAGCGCCGTGGAACCTTTACTGGGGCGCCGTGGGCGACGGGTGGGTCTCAAGGTACAACATTTTACAACATAGATAACTGAGAGTAAAGGTAATACGTCGGTACTTATTAATAAAAATCCTCTGACAATATGATAATATCGGTAATTGCAAAATTCAATCTGTTCAGAAAGTCACCTACCTACTTTTATTAATTAAATATCTAGTGTAGTCTTTACGTTCGGGGCGCCGCGATAACCTTCAAAAAACATAAGGGAGCCGTGAATTCGAAAAGTTTGAGAAACACTGCCTTATGGGAATGTAATGTACGGCGATCGAAACATCAAGAAGATAGTGAGTGTGAATCATCCTGGCGGAAAAAACGTTTCGAAGATGGGCAGCGCAACTAAAGGCAGCGTTGAGATGGGTAAAAAATTCAAATAATTGTTAAGTTACTTTGGAATATAAGTGTTTTCAAGTTGTAAGGCTGAAGTATTGATACATATCGTTGAATTTACAAAAAATCTGACAAATGACAAAAGGTGGAAGTTGCCTCTCCAAAAATTTGCCAAATAGTATTTTGTACCGTAATTATATTTCGTATTAAAATTAAAATAACGAGAGCTACTATTTCTACAATTCCGAGCATCATATTGGAGGTTATTTTCATGCTTGCAGTTGTTGAAAACATCGACCAAAACATATTGTACGTATTAGCTCGTTTCGTTATCAAAAGAAGTGTTGATGAAGATGTTGATGACTTTAATTCAAAATGAACAAGAACCCATTTTAGATAAAAAAAATAGGGTAATCACTCAACACATTTAAAATAGTGTTGTTATTCAGCTATGCGTGAACGATTCAGAAGGTTTGAATATTAATCAAGTAAATGGAGAATTTTGCCAATTGCGTTGTGGTTGAAAATCTGGAAAAACTTTAATAACTAACCATTTAATTTTTTTTTCTGTGCCATCAAATGACGAGCTGAAATGATTCCCAAGCAATTAACATACTTTTTCATATTTTAAACACTTCTTAAAGTTTTTTATACCGTGAAATATATAGTCATTTAATTATTATTAACACTAATATATTTAGAACAGAACGTATGAAGATATATTTTTTTTATCAATTATTTTGTTGTCTGAAGCTACCAAAGAGCATGTGTCAATTACAAAACATTAACTTTCTTACATTCTCAACAGGAACACTGGTCGGAAGCTCAACAGGAAAGGCTTGAACTCCAAAGGGCCCGAGTACTGGAAGTCAACAGGCACCTGGCAGCCTTAACAGAGAGCTGGGAAAGAGGTGGTCTACCACTCCATATGAATTTAGCCGTGAATCATTACCCTCATAACCAACCGCCGCCGCAGGAATTGAATGATAGGTTGAAGCGACAGAATAGGTTACTTACTGAGGTATACAATTTACCTAAATTGGCTATTCATTCATGAAGAGAACGGAATAGAATAGGAGATAATAAACGTATTTCCCAAAAACAAATGGGCCGTATATTGCTTCCCAAAAGTAACGGGTAAATCCTCTAAAATAAAATGAATATCTAAAAAAAATTGCCATTTGGACATATTACTGTCAACCCTTCACCACTTTATCATAGTAGAATGATAAAAGACCCAGGACCCAGTAGTCCCACTTTTTGGTAAAAATAACAGCGCACATGATCGAATCGTAAAGGATAGTTTTTGGATGCGCTATGAATTGCCTCGATAATCGGCAACGTTGTCATGTCTGAAGTTTTTCATGAAATTTACCGCTTTTAGCCTATCAGACTGATGACGTTCCACTTGTGAAATCATGATATTTTTATGTAGGGAAGTTTTGTTTTGTCTAATATGTTTACAGAAATGAGTGTTTTGAAAAAAACAACGAAGATATTACCACTAGAATAAAGTTTGCAAAGAGGTGGCAAATAACGATTTCAGCATTCCTCAGTTTGTGGCCAATTTTAAAAGATAATAAGCTGAAAATGTAATATTTTGTACTTTTTAAATATATTCAAGAGTTGTATTTGTAGCAGATACAAATAGCGTTTCATAATATTCTACATTACTACAAAACACCCATTTAATTTTCCATGAAATTTCAGTTCATATCTATTATTTACTTGTTGAGCAGTGTATGAAATGACAAACGCTGGCAAATCGGCTCGTGGACAATTATTATGAATGCGCAGTAGTCCTAAAAAATAAAACTGTGAGACACAAACATCAAATGTTTCGACAAGAGTGACACTACTGAGTTTAGGTATAGGTACTGTGACTTTACACTCAAGGCAAATTGCCAAACCCGACATCAAAAATGTAAATGGTAAGATACCCCCTGTGATGTTCCTTAGATTTTTTATTCTGAGTACAACAAATAAAGTTTGCTAAAATCACTTGATGAATAACGAAGATATTCACCAATATGTTTTCAAATGAAAAATTTGGATAACAAAATTCATTATGAAAAAATAACGCACAGGAGAATCATTGAACCCAAATAAATGTCTGAATTGTTATGCATTGATGGCGAGGCAGTGCCCTTGTCAGGACTATTTAATTTACTTTTCGAATAATCCCAGAAAATATAGTCCCACGGGGTTAAATCTGGTAATTTTGTTGGTTACTCAGTAGATCCCCTTACCTGTTCATCGATTAGGAAATATATGATCGAAGTATTCCCGAACTGTATGATCACCATGTAGAGTGGGGAATACAATTTTGCTGCAACCAAATTCTGTGATCAAGTGCCTTATGGTATTCTGCATTAGGAAAATAATTCTTCTCGAAAAAAGTTCAGGTAGTGTTCGCCAATCATTGTTCTGTCGAAGAACTGTGTCTTGTGTAAGCACGCGCTAACAGCAATTTTATTAGTTAATGGTACTATATTCTTATTAAATATTACCTAATCAGAAAACACAACAGAAGAAAAACTTAATTTAGAATATGAAATCACATGAAAATCATCATCGGGCCATTCGTTAGCAAATTTTTGACGTACCTACTCGTGAACGAAGCCTGTATGCCCGGTATTGTAACAAATAATAAATTTAGAACACTATACTTGGGTAATGGAAGTGTTTATGCATTATATTTAATAAGTAGACATAAGACTGAGAACTTAGTTCAATCATAACAAATCAACGAGAGCGTTTATGGAAACTCAATCAGAACTAAGAAACATATGCTTAATACCTAAAAACTTGACTAGCATTGAACTAATAACTAAGAGCTCAGATCGAAACGAAAATGAGCATGTGCCAAATTGAAATATTTACAGCTGTCAGTCATTCATACCTTCATTAACTATAGAAATTTCAAATTTGTATCTATGATAAAATTGGAAAAGTGTTAATCATTTCACTTCTTTATTCTGAATTCTGTAGAGTTAGGTAGGGTGAGTGTAGGCCCACAGCACATAGGCCACATGTGACTCATTGTACATCCTCCCGAGGAGTTGTCCTCCTAGATCATCGTCAATCCTGTTCTGTCCAGGAAGGTGGACAGGTCACTAGTAGACATCTCCTTTATATCGACAGGTGTAGGCCTAGACTCGCCGAACACATACTCTCTTATTGACAATAACTCCGAACACTCGCGTAAGACCTACGGCAGTTCCATCTTCTTGTTCACACATCCTGCATAGAGGTGTGTCCACTAGCCCCATAATATGGAGGTGTTTCCTTAGTTGACTGTGGCCATTTCACTTGTTTATTTGAAACTATATTTAACAATATTGTGTTGTGTTGCACCAATGCAACACTTTTCTCGACTCGTGGTGTACCAGCCAGATGTACATGCATACTACGCAGGCATAATGCCTGTAATATTGATCCTATTGAAGTATAATTCATAATAAACTTCATTGGTCCATGCAGAATGTATATTTTCCTGTATGTGAATCACGAAGGCACCGCCTTGTTTCGTTTTAATCAAATGTGTTCAATGGACGGTGTTTCAGAGTTGCTATCATTCCTTTCTGCAAGAGGAACGAAATTAAAGAAATATGATTATTGTTTTAACCTCAGTCGTCCCCCAAACCAAATTCTGAATACGTTCTTGCAAGGTTCCAAAGCATAAACAATAATCCAAAATCTAGGGGGAAATGTTGGTCATCTTTTAGCAAAGCTAATATTTGGACAATAAATATATAGAAATCTAACCGCGTCACCAGAAACTACGGTAGGTATTTGGGAGAGATGAATATTTAGAGATTTTATTTCAAAATATTTATTTTTAAATAATTATATAGTAATATGTAATAGAGAATATGTTCATACTCTTTCAGATTCCAGAGCATTAATTTTTGACGTCTCGCCATGCGAAAGTGCATTCGGCACACTTTGTTGTCGAGTTAAATTCGCATCAAAAACGTCCTCAATGTCACATCCTAAGAACAATGACGTTATGATATAAAACATAGATCGCCTTATATCTGTAAAAGAACCCAGTTTTTGAAGTAGAAAGTATGCATACATTATTAAGCACATACCTACCACTTTATTATTAGTTATCTTATATTACTAAAATATTGGCTCTCCTTAATGAAGTCAGACGGCTCTGTGGTATCTTGGTCTGCAACCATGACGATGATCGTGTGAACAGTTTATCTAAATTAGAGAATACTCACTTTTCAATGTTCCTGGCTGACTAATGAAAATTTGGGATTCGTTGATTCAAAAATATTAGTGAATTAGTTAACCTTGCAACAAGTTCTCTTCGTAACAAAGTGAACGAATCGCTGCTCTAGAGCGAGAAAAATCTAATCTCATTCAAGTTCTTCAGATGAGAACTGAACCGCAGAACAGGAATAATATTCAGGAAGAAGCGGTGTTTTGAATTATTAAGGAAAGCGCAAAAAACACAAGAAAATATGAACAAGAGTTACCCAGTAATGAAGATAGAAATGACTTGAGGAATTGTGAAAATTTCCATTTTTTTTGTTAGATATAAGTAGCTGAATTTCATAAATGTTTAGTAAAACTTATGTTATTGCTATTTCGGAAAAGACTAAGATGAGATATCATCAAATGAAAAATCATTCTTCTGTATATAAGTGGTCTTGAGGCAATACTTGATAATTCTTTTTGATTTTTATATATGTAATAATCACTTTTTTTCTATATCAAAAAATTTTTAATTTGCCCCAGATCTTCACGTGAATGCTATTCAGTTGCTGCCCAAAAAGCAATTTAACTAAATCGGTATGTCTGAGATAACAAATGTAGCATTTTCGCCTCATTTATATTCTAATAGGAAGAATACCTGATTCATTGATTTGTAAATTAGTGAATGTTAAACACAGATATGAGACCATTAAGTGCCATTTATGCCAGTTTAAATATAATATAACGGGCATATAAAGAACTAAATATTAGGTATATATAAATGAATATATATTTCTTGCATGTAAGGTTATATCTATATATACATACATACAAAAAATATTTCAATAAGGTAGACAAGGTTAATAAAATAAATGAAAACACCAAATTGGGAAAGTTATTTGAAAAGTCCTAAAAAAATTAAGTTGTCTACCTTACCTGTAAAAAAGAATTGAATTTTATTTGATTTCCACAGATTCTTTTATATAAAATATAGTATTTTCGATTGTATAATATAGTTACTATCATAATATCATATCTACCATTTTTGATATGTGACACATGTGTATAAAGATTATTTGGATTGCCAGAATCGTTTGTGAACTCAATTTTTTTATTATATTAAAGAAAGAACAGTGTTAAGTAATCTTTTGAGAACCTATTTTCAAAGTTGAATTTGCTTCAATTATAACTCCTAGGTCTTTGATACTTGAATTGTACTTATATGAGTGTTTGGTAGTTCTTCGGACCTGATACACAGCATACATTTCAAGCTGTACCTAAATCACTTCCAATTCGCTAGATGCAGTCGTTGGGAAAATCTATGAAATCACTTTAGCAATCCAGTGTGCAGTTTTTGTTATTTTAACTGAAATTCTTAACGACACAAAAAAACTGTCAAAGAAAGCATTCAACAATAAAGAAAATTAAATAAAAAATTGAGTTATTTATAATCAAGATAACTGATTGCCCTAGAATAACTGTTCTTCAGAACTGCTAATACTGCCAGTCAAATTAATTTCCCGTCAATTGCTTCACATGATTCCTCTCGCCTCTTCAACCCACTCATCTATAATGATAGTAATAAAAAAAATACATCTCCATAGGAATTTGCATCCCAAATCGTCCGTTCCACAGTTGTACTCGTACTTTCCCCAACAGCAAGGAGGCCGTAGACTTTTTTGTGTTTAGAGTGTATACATGACATAATAGAGCCTGTAAAGTCGTGAGGAGTTTGGGTCCCCTTCTCTGCATAGTCCGCTATCACGAGAGAACAGGAATTGGAGCTTTTCTTTTTAGAACAGCTATATACCCGAGCGGCTGACGAACTCGGTTTAGTTTTCGACACTGAATGAGTCGCGCAAGTAAATGCAGGTTATTAAAACTAGATGTCGTCACCTCGTAGTCCTCCAGAATTCAGTGTTGTTCCTGGCGGTACTTCAGTACAGTAACGCTAGTTGCACACACACCGATTTTGGACGGCCAGTATAAAATCGGCCGATATTTTATTGGTAGCGGGTGCTTGCACACTCACCGGATTTTTATCGGTCAAACAATCAGTTGCTTTGTTGTCGTAATTAGCACGCACTACCAAAACGAAGTTAATGCATAGTAACTACAATTTCACCGAGCATTCAACACGGGAATGATCGGTAAAAAACCGGTGAGTATGCAAGAGTGTATTTAGTCATGTACGCCACTACTTCCCGGTGATACAGTGGCAGTGAACGGCTGCTCACCGGTATTTTACCGGCGACGATCACCGGTCGCCGTGTGTGCCAGGTCCCGTTCCCTGCTTGGGACTTTGTTCGTGAGATGGAACTATTATACTTCTTCACTGTGGTTGAAACAGATCCTGTCTCACACGAAGGTTCTGTATATGCAGTTCTGTATCACCTCTAGGTGATCACTTGATTGATTTCAGCGATGTCCTGCTGCTACACAAATATCCGTCTTGGTTTTAACCAAGGAAGATTTTATAGTTTGATTTTACTTGACTCATTTTGATTTGTCAAACTAAAAAGGTAGGGATATAAATACTATAGTAAAATGCATCTGAATGAATATTTGTGTTTTACTAAAACAAAAATTGACATTGATTTCATTGGTGACTTAATGACTAAATCCCAAGTTTGAAGACTTCATAAAATTCTCATGCAATTATTTCTGAACATACTTTCAATTTTAAAATTTAAAAGTAATACTGATAATGAAAGATATGTGTGAAGTGCAAATTCAGTAAATTGATGTTCAACAACTTGTTCCTTCAAATATTTTTTGTTGCTTTTTATAAAGACATAGTTGATAAGAGGTAGTCAAAGATTTTTCCTATTATTCTGTCTTTGAAGAGAACATTTTATCCCAGTTGATTCCATCACAAGGTAGTTTACTTTCAATCCAGGGTGTCAACCAGACCAAATGCCATCTATGTCCCAAAACTATTTCAATATTCTTCCATTGACCTCTATCATATTTGCTTTTCATATTACGTTCGTATGTTACTACACTTCTCAACATCAAATCTATATGAAACTGTAATAAAGCTCCTGTGAACGCACCTCCTAATAACACAATTATTATGAAAAATACGTATAACTGATTTTCTGTCCATTCCATGAACAAAGTAGCCAAAGGAAATACTATCTTAAATATTGATATCCATGAATCAAAAGTTATGTAATCACAAAGAAAGTAAATATTATAATATGATGCATACACTGTTGCGATGAACATGTAGAGTACAAACATCAGAAAATAACGATGGTTATCGTTGCCGATGCAACAACTAGTAAACATGCAGTGATGGTCTCTTTTCAGAATGCAAACGTTGCAGGTTTCACAATGCCATGATCTTGGAGGTGCTATAGTTTCACACACTAAACAGAATCTTCCATCAGGGTCCAACTGTGTAGGTAAAACTCTTCCTTTTATACTTGTATCGCACATCATTATCGCAACCAGATTCGAACAGACATTGAAAAGTATAAAGGTGCCAGTGAGAAAATGTAAATTATATGTAAACCCCCACTGTCTGTAATATCTCGGTAAGACTATAAACAACTCAAAATAGTAAATTAGCGGAATAATAATTAACACAAATCCTGTTACCATTGCATCTTTTATGGATTTTGGCAGGATTTTTGATCGTAATATCATGTCGAATATATCAACTTGATAACTTGTGTATGGCCGCTAAGTACAAACACAAGATAATATGTAGTTGGTTATGGATGGACAACGTTGGTAAAATACTATTCAACGATTATAACAAACTTTTCAGCATATAGTAGTATAGTTAGTAACCTTTATGTAAACAATAATAAATTACACGAAAAAATATTTTTATAGGTTAGTTTTTGAATTTATTCTTCTTTTTCTTCGAATGAATGAGAGCTCTATTTATTTAAAAACACTTAAATAATTTTCATTTACACTATTTTTAATTTATGCTTGTACGTTATAAAACGGCGGACATTCAAAACATGAACTGAGTTCCATCTCCAACAATGGTGTCTGCGTACCTTTTTTGTGGACGGTCGCTATTGGCAAGGTCGCTATCGGCACGTCCACCCATCACCATGTCAGAAAGGAAACTCTCTTTTTGAATTCAGTTCAGGTACAAGGCACCGAAATTGACAGGTCAACGTCAAAATTAAGGAAAATATTTGATTATTGCCATTAGGAATAGTAGTCACAAACATTATTGACTTGTCATAGCACTAAGGTGAAATAATTTGACAAATAAAAAATCTAATCTAATCCAAATATTCGTTGTTGAATCAATTTATTGTTAGGTATTCTCTCACAGAAATGTAAAAGACAGCTGATTAGTGAGTCCAAAAGATTTTGTTTCATTGAGCCAGTATGACAATTGTGTATCAGGAAATGTGTCCATGGACGGAGTTTTTCATTACATTCGAAAGTAGCAGCGAAATGAAAAATCATACTCATACATCATGAATCATTTAATAATTTTTGTGTTTACATGATAGAGATGTTTTTCTCATAATTGAATATTGAAAGTTTATTATAACGATACGTTGTAGAAATTGAATGAATATGCTATACAGTTGCATCACACACAACATCTATGCAATAAATACTTTGATATTGAGGGAAAGAGTTTTTGTGTTATAAATATTAGATTAATGTCATGTTTAACGATAAATTCAAATTGTTTGAAACTTTTCGGGTACATAATTTTATCACAAACGAAAACGCATAACGTCATTTCAGGAGGTTGTCAATTCTACTGTTTCTAACTAAACTGGCTTATTTTGCCATGTTTCGAGAAAGTTTTAGGTTGACAACTCTCACCTCAACACTATCACCTATAAAAAAAATTCTGGTTTTCTATTCCGTGCTAAGTGGTTCTTCTGTAAGTAAGGAATTTTGTGGCTAGACTATATTTTTTTTTCTGTGATACTATAAGTCAGAGTCGCCACGAAACGGATGTAGTTTGTTCTATCCAAAGAGTAATCTTTGGTTCTGTCTGTTTTGTGATAGTAACACGGAATTGAAACTCGAAGTAGTTGTAATATTTTGTGTTTTATTGTAATTAACAAAAAATATATCTTTCCATTGAATTTAAAAATGAATGAAAAATAATTATAAAAAAGTATTGTCTTAAGTTGTATATTCCTTCATTTTCGAAAATATGCCAGTAATAAAATGTTCAGGTTAACATTAGGATTATTGGGAAATTACTTTTGAACTGTTGGCGAAACTTGTTATCAATTCGTCATAATTTGGAAAGAAAGGGTTATGCCATTTAATATAATATTATTAATGTTTTTGTGTATTTCCCCATTTTAATAATGAAAAAGTCTCAACCAAATTCTTGATTATGTTGATGTGATAAATTGTGTGTAATGATGATATAATTGTGTTGTGCCATTATATGTCATGAGTTCCAGGATCAGGTGAAAGGATATTTTACTTGGTTCAATAAGGGTAGAGTAACGGTATTCTTTTCACCACTTTCAGGGATAATGTGAAGCATTTCTTCGAATGTTTTTGTGAAGTAGTTCCTCCTAGTGAAGGCCAAGAGCCATGGATAATTCAACAATATCCAGACAGCTACAAAGATGTGGAAGTTTTGAAATCAGTTCCAAAATTTGCTTATCCTTACAAGTTCAAAAAGTATGTCAATTTAAATAATATCATTAGATAAATATGGTAGTGCTTATGGGTAAATATGCGTTGTTTAATAATAGTGTCATTTACAACTTCTGAGCTATGGACTTAAATTNTAATGTTAGTATACTGATTGAGATTAAGATAGATGACTCTAAATAGTGAAAGAACTACTGTATGCACCGAATTTTTCAATTTTTTGACTGGCTAGTAATTAATTTGTGAAACAGTGTCTGTTTTTAAGAATTGTCTACTTAATGGAATAAAATCCCAGAGCCTCCATTCCCATTTCTTTTCAGTAAACAGAAATTTTCATTCTTGAGAAGTGTGTAAGGTTCATATATTCAATCGCATGTGTTCAAAACAGATGAAGCTCTTTTTTTTTATTGAATATTCAATTTTTTACCAAATATAATACCTGCATAGGCAAAAAAAAATCATAACATGGTTAATACTTCAGAAACAGTCAGAGATAGGTGTAAGACATAGTCGATAAAACTTTCTTACATTGGTTAGTTGAATTCGAAAATTGGATATATAGAGGGTATCAGTTATGTTGTTCATCAAAGATACGAACGGAGGTGTTCGTATCTTTGCTATGATACATTTTTGTCATCTTGTTTTGTTAAAAAAACTAAGTAACGGTTAAAGATGGGTATAGGACTTGCTTCACAAAAATGATTCAGATTTTGAACCAGAATTCGAAAATGATGTATATATAACGTGTTCAATTTTAAAATTCCAAGTTTGTGTGTATTACATATAGATGTGGCAGCAACGCCAAGATAAAACTATTTTCAAAGGCTAGATCACAGTCTTTAACAATAGTAACCAAAATTTGGAAAACGTGTCTTCATCGGTTCTCCAGATCCGTCTAATGGGCCATCTCATTTGGAACACCCTGTATATACAAAGAAACTCACATTCAGTGAACTATTAGATGTATCTGAAGAAAGAAATGGCATAGTGCCTATTAATGATTACGGTTCACAGTATATAGTTTTAAATTATTTTTTAGAATGAAGTGTTGCCAGTTGTAACGATTTTCATGTAAAATTTGTTTCTTTTTTTTAATAGAACGCTATATATTTCCCCACTTTTGGATGCAACGTTTAATTACAGACTATTATTCATATACATTTTTTGATATCTCAACCATCTCCAGAAATAATAATTTTTCAATATTTGACATATGAATGTGAGTGAAACCCACCATGGAATGAGACAAGATATGGAACTTTCACAATTTTGTACCATCCTTTATATAAATGATCTGTATGGTATAAATCTTCATCATGTGTCTTGTTTCCAGATGACACAACTCTTATATGCTCAAGTAAATCTCAGCAAATAATGGATATAACTATCTAGTAAATGAGTGGTTTACCATATGTACACTAAGTACCCAAAATGGTTGATAAAATTATTATTATTATTATTACTTTCAATAAACTGAAAAACTAATGTTCAACTTAGAAAAAGTGTTGAGTTTTTGGGCTCTGTTTTTTATGAGAAGTTGGTCAAGTCACATTAGGTGTCAAATCACATTAGGTGCATTACCCGCAAACTGTTGGCTCTTTTTGTCCACAGGCAACTGAGAAATACTGGGGGTTTAGTTACATGTAAACTTGTTTTTAATTATTCACTATTTCTCTCGATGATCTAAGGTGGGGTTTTGATTTGGAGCAACAGCATATTTCATAAGTATTTGCAAGCTTCGGAAAAATGCTATCAGAATTCTAGCAAATGCGGGTTTTAGGAAGCATTGCCATCCTCTATTCATTCAGCTTGATATTATGCCACTACCTACCATGTATGATTATACCATATTGTTAGAGATCTATAAAAATATCAAGAATTTCCCGAAACAATTCAACAATCATGATTATTCCACAAGATCTACTGAATTATTATAAATTCCAAGATACAGGCTAGCAGTTTGTCAAAAATTCCTACTAAAAAATAGCTATTCAATCTAGGATATTTGTGATATAATAATGATAATATTTATTTACTTCTCACGTTGAAAAGTATAAAAATTTCTTTTACAAAATACTACACAATAACAAGGAAGACGTCCATATGGTGTAAAACATAAAAAATTTAATACAAATTTAAAAACATTCAAAGTCATTTACAAATGAAAGGGTAGAACATTTTAATAATAGCTGCTCGGCTAAGGTGAATAATTATTGATTTGC